GAACGTTGTTTATATGGTAACAATCCTTGAGGTTCACTTTATAACCTAGCAAGCACATGGTTAATATCCAAAGATCTTCTAATTTCTGCTTGAAAAGAACATGTAGTCTCTAAAACCTATATGAAGTGTTTTATATATGTCTACTAGAATAAGCTTAATAAGGCTCCTTTTTTTGTTTACTTAATCTATTATTCACTTTTAAAAGTAGGTTAAAAATTGACCCCCCCCCCCAAAAAAAATTCCCTATTCTACGGGGCACTTATCTTTGGTTCCTGTCAAATGTTGCTTACATTTTGAAGCTATATTATTCAGTGTATGCAAGTTTAAACTTGTTCAACCTTCTGGATCTTTTAGCATTATGTAGTGACACTTATTTCACTGAGATTTATTTTCTTTAAGGTTTTCTTTGATATTAATATAGTTATAACAGCTTATATTAGTATTTGTATATCTCTTTATCTTTCAGTTAGAGTTTTCTTTATTCTGACATTTTTTCTTTTTTAAAATTTTAGATTTGGGGGTACTATACATATATATGTATATATATATATATTTTGAGATGGAGCCTCGCTGTGTTGCCCAGGCTGGAGTGCCTTGGTGCCATCTCTGCTCACTGTAACCTCTGCCTCCTGGGTTCAAGCAATTCTACTGGCTTGGCCTCTCCGGTAGCTGGGATCACAGGCAACCGCCACCACGCCCAACTCATTTTTGCATTTTTAAGTTTAATTGACAAACTTGGTCCATGTATATTTGTTACTGTTTCTTTTTTAAATGTTTTAACTTTATTATATTATGGCTTTCCATTTGTCCCACTTTAACAGTTTTCCTCTTGGTTTCTTTCTTTCCTTCTCTTGGGTTAATGGTTTTCTTCTTTTTGCTTTCTTTTAAGGTTTTTTCTTCTATTTGTTTGGAAGTTACATAGTCAAACCAATGTTTTTCAATCAATTTTTTTAACTATGTTAACACTCACACTTAATGTAGTCTAAGGTTTATCAATATATTATCTTTCTACTAAAAAAATACAAAAACTTTCATGCTTCAATTGTGATCACCCTTCTTCCAATCTTTAAACTATAAAAGTATTTCAAGTTTGTTTTTCAACAAAGGACATTATTAATTTTGTTTTATTCTATTGTTGATGTTGCTTAATTTTATTTAAAGGTTTGCCAATATCTTTGTTCTCTGTCCCTTCTTGAATCTCAGACTTTTATTTGTAACCATTTTCATTCTACTTGAAACACATACTTTCCTCCAATCTGGGTCCTAAACTCTGTACATTTGTCAGCTTGACAAAAACATAGTTTGAACAGGCAACAAATTCTACTTAGAATTTCTCTTCCTCTTTTTTTCTCTCAGAACAGCAAAGATATTCTTCTATCTTCTGGATTGTATTTTTATTGTTGAAGAGTCACTCATAAGTCTAATTGTTGTTTTTTTCCAAGTATGTATGATTTGCCTGTTTTGTTTTCTAAAAAAGAATTGCTTTTAAGATCTCTTTTATTTGGTATACTGCAGTTTCTCTGTGTCTGGGTGAGAGTTTCTTTTTATTTATCATACTTTGAATCTGTTGGGTTTCTTATCTTCCAATAGTGCTGGTAAATCCTCAGCTACTATTTTTTAAATACTATTTAATATTTTGACATCATCTTCCATGTCTTAACTACCTCCTCAACATATTTTCCAATTCTTTATCTTTGAACTGCATTCTAGATAATTTATTCAGATCTAGCAGTTCACTTACTCTTTTTTTTTTTTTCCCCCTGAGACGGAGTCTTGCTCTGTCGCCTAAAGCTGGAGTGCAGTGACAAGATCTTGGCTCACTGCAACCTCCACCTCCTGGGTTCCAGCAATTCTCCTGCCTCAGCCTCCTGAGTAGCTGGGATTGCAGGCGTGTGCCACCACACGCTAATTTTTTTGTATTTAAATGGAGTTTCACCATGTTGGCCAGGCTGGTCTTGAACTCCTGACCTCATGATCTGCCTGCCTCAGCCTCCCAAAGAGCTGGGATTGCAGGCATGAGCCACCATGCCCAGCCTATTCACTCTTGAATGGTCGAATATACTGTTTAATCCATTCACGGAGTTTTAAAATTTTTAATTAGTACATTTTTATTACGAGCAGTTATTTTTTAATCGACCTGATATTTTCAGTTTGTTTTCCCCTGCTCCTAGTTTCAGTTACTTCTTTTCAACTATTACAAAATCTTTCTGGAAATTTTTTTCTGCTTATTTTCTTTTGGTGTCTTGTTTGCACGTATGTTGTGTAACTTTTGGCTGTGTGTTGCTAATTTTCCATGGAACTTTATCTGTGGTAAATTATTTGAGGCCTAGGGGAAAAGGATTTGAGTCTACTTCTACCACCCTCTGTGACACTTTAAATTTTCTGCTCAAGATTTTTCATATCATCTGGGTAGTGTAAATTCAGATGGAAAACATAAATAAAGATAACCTTTTGTTTTCCTTTTCTGTGTGACAATACTTAGACCTGCAAAATAATGGAAAAGATAAAGTTGTGGATGAAGCTAAAGCAATACCCAGAAGATGTATAGTCTAAATTGTTCCATTAGAAAAGAAAAAGGGCTATATATGAATAAGCTAAGCATGCAAAGAGTTAGAAAATTAAGAGCAAAATAAATCCAAAGAAGGGGTGAAAGGGCACAAATCAATGATATAGAAAATAAACATACAACAAAGAGTATCAATAAAATAAAAGTTGATTATTTGAAGATACGTATTAAAGATAGACAAGAAGTGTCTGGTAAGATTTTTCCAGAAAAAGAAAAAAGAAACACCCCCAAATAAATAAGAGGTGAGAGCCAGATGCAGGGCTCATGCCTGTAATCCCAGCACTTTGGGAGGCTAAGACAGGTACATCGCTTGAGCTCAGGAGTTAGAGATCAGTCTAGGCAACATGGCAAAACCCTGACTCTGCAAAAACTACAGAAATTAGCTGGGTGTGGTGGCACACACCAGTGGTCCCAGCTACTCAGGAGGCTGAGGTGGGAGAATTGCTAGAGACCAGGGAAGTTGAGGCTGCAGTGAGCCATATTCATGCCATTGTACTCCAGCCTGGGTGATAGAGTAAGACCCTGTCTCAAAAAACAAAAAAAAGAGAGAGAGAGAGATAAAGATGAAGATATAATTACTGATGCAATAAAGAATAATTAAATGAAAAGAGGATGCCATGAATATTAAACCAACAGTTTTGAAACATACATGAAATGTATATATTATCAGAAAAAAATAATTCACCAAAATTAACACTGCTTTGGTATAGCAATAGAAAAGATGATGATTAGTGCTTTAACCTAAAAATGAATTAAATATGTAGTTTAAGATTTTACCTCAAAAAAATCACCAAGCATAGATTGTTCTACAGGTATGTTCTACCTAATGATCAAAGAATGGATCACTTTATTTACATACAAATCCTTCTAGAGAATAGAAGAAAGTATTATCACTAACTAAGGAGATTAGCAGTACTCTAATGCAAAAAACAGACAAGGCAGTAGAAGAAAGGAGAATCACAGGCCAGTCTCAATATTGCTTATAAACGTAGATATAATAATTCTAAACAAAATGTTAGCAAAGCATATCCTCCAATAGAAAGATAATATCAGGTTGGGTAGTTCCAGGAAGGAAATGTTGAATAATACTAGACAATTTTCTGGAAATAACAGATTAGGTAAATTATAACAAAATACAAAGATAACTAGACAGCTAGACAAGCTGCTCTGTAGACGCGCGCTCGCGCGCGCGCACACACACACACACACACACACACACACTGAAAGCATTAGAGAATGAGCTAACAAGATAGTGAAGAATCACTGAGGCAACATCTGGAAAGTATTAACCTACTTTTCCCTGGGTGGCAGGGGGATTTGCTGACCACTGAAGGCTGAGCAGTGCTGTGCACCTAGTGCAAAGCTAGGGTGACAGGTCAAGTCCAGAGCCCCATGAAGTGTGTACTTATTTGTAGGGGAGTGTTGGTCAACTCCTTATGCTTTGTGTTGGGCTGCATGTAAGGAGCAAGGGTGAAAGGCAAGAAAACTACGCCAAATGTGCATTTCAGCCCAGCTTCAAATCCTCTCAGGTACTGAAAATGGAATTAAGTTATCTAGTACTGTGTGGGTCCCAGGCTCTGGGCAGAAGCCAACATAAATCCTCTTTGAGAAAGATATTATCCCCCTAGGATTCAAATGATTCTACGTGTTTTCAAGTTTAGTGAGTGGCATGCAATAAAAAATAATCAGGCAAACAAAGAGAAAAGGCATGACAACATGCTTGAGAACTGATATATGTAACAAAATAGAAACAGACCCTTAAGTGATTACAGAAACACAGAGGGGTTGTAGCTCACCAATATGCAATTTATTGATTAAATCATTAGGACTTGCCAATTAATAAAAATAGATGAAAAGCATGGAGAACTGTATTTATGAGGGAGGAAATAAACAATTTTAGTTTATGAGAGAGGGTTTGCATATTTGTAAGTAATTTAGTAATATATGAATCTTTGTATATCTTTTTGTATTCTTTCCTTATGATGCATTCTTTCCTGAAAGTGTTTTAAAATAACATCTAGAGCCATCAATGTGGACTGATTTAAGATTTCATCTGGTGAAAATCAGCGAATTAGGCTTTGGATGGCTCCTCCAGCAATAACACCAGAGAAAAGCATACATAATAATTTCAATGTTTTGTAAAGGATCTACACTGGCAGAATATACAGCAGTGTTCTTTCTCTTTTATGCATTGTATTGCTGAAATTGTCTTACCAATAGCTTTTCCAGAGGATGGTGCTTAGTGATGAGTATTAGACAGGATTGTGCCCCAGTTCTTGAGTGGAGGAGAAAAGATTGCTATTTTCAGTCACTCTTTATAGGGGAGATGTAAGGCACAATTAACTTTTAAAAAAATAAATGAGGTTAGTTTTTACAAGACATAGTTTTCCAAGTTTTAACTAAAGTCCTCTGACCAATTTTTCTCCTTTTGCAGAACGAACAAGTTGACTACGTAGATGTTGGGGGAGCTTACGTGGGGCCAACTCAGAACAGAATATTACGCTTGTCTAAGGAGCTGGGCATCGAGACTTATAAAGTGAATGTCTGTGAGCGTCTCGTTCAATATGTCAAGGTAAGGCTGCCTTTTCACACAAGTGACTGATAGGGAAATATTTTTTTTTTTTTGAGAAAACATTTGGTTTGTTTTATTTTTCTTTCAAAGCAATTGTAGAAATAGGATCTTGACTTTAAAATAGTAGTTTGCCTTTCTTTTCTTGTTTTCTTTTTCTTTTGAAAAGATCACTAAAGACTCCTGGAATCACTACAGGATATTACGACTCAGCTTGGCCTTCCTCCCTGCCACTCTCAGTGGCCCTCACAAGCTGCCCTCACTCCCAGAGAGTAGGAATGGGAGGTTCTGGCTTCCCTCCTAATGCATTTGAAAGGCACAGGGGTGGGGGTAGCAGGTGTCTGCAACAGATATGTTCACATACCCATACATGCATGCCCCCCTCCCCCAGCTACAGGCAATCCCCGAGTGACCTAGGAAGCAACTCTAGAGCCCCAAGGAACACAAGAGTTTGAGGTTACTTCTTTAGCCTTTGAACTGGTTATTCATCCTCATTTTTACCTGGCATTTCCTGGAATACTTTATTTCCTCTGTACCTGGCCTTCACTACTGTGGAGTCTAGCTCCTTTGTAAGTTTCCTACTGTTTCAACAAGAGATTGTTTAAACTCTAGCCACTGGTATCTGCTGCTGTTGTCAGTGTTTTCCTTTCTCACTGAAGCCAAACATGGAGTGGCTGGAGTCTGGAAACATGCCTTGAGAAATCAAATTTCCCACCTGACATTGCAGCCTACTTCCTTTTGTTGTTTTCTTTTTGTCTTTAAGCTCTGTTGGACTTGAAAATCAGTAGTCTTTTTTTTTTTTATTGCATTTTAGGTTTTGGGGTACATGTGAAGAACATGCAAGATTGTTGCATAGGTACACACGTGGCAGTGCGATTTGCTGCCTTCCTCCCCCTCACCTATATCTGGCGTTTCTCCCCATGCTATCTCTCCCCAACTCCCCACCTCCCACTGTCCCTCCCCCATTTCCCCCCAACTGACCCCAGTGTGTGATGCTCCCCTCCCTGTGTCCATGGGTTCTCATTGTTCAACACCGCCTATGAGTTAGAACATGCGGTGTTTGATTTTCTACTCTTTTGTCAGTTTTCTGAGAATGATGGTTTCCAGGTTCATCCATGTCCCTTCAAAGGACACGAACTCATCATTTTTGATGGCTGCATAATATTCCATCGTGTATATGTACCACATTTTCCCTGTCCAGTCTATCATAGATGGGCATTTTGGTTGGTTCCAGGTCTTTGCTATTGTAAACAGTGCTGCAATGAACATTCGTGTGCATGTGTCCTTATAGTAGAACGATTTATAATCCTTTGGATATATACCCAGTAATGGGATTGCTGGGTCAAATGGAATTTCTATTTCTAGGTCCTTAAGGAATTGCCACACTGTCTTCCACAATGCTTGAACCAATTTACACTGACACCAACAGTGTAAAAGTGTTCCTATTTCTCCACATCCTCTCCAGCATTTGTTGTCTCTAGATTTTTTAATGATCACCATTCGAACTGGTGTGAGATGGTATCTCAATGTAGTTTTGATTTGCATTTCTCTAATGACCAGTGATGATAAGCATTTTTTCATATGTTTGTTGGCCTCATGTATGTCTTCTTTTGTAAAGTGTCTGTTCATATCCTTTGCCCACTTTCGAATGGGCTTGTTTGGTTTTTTCTTGTAGATCTGTTTTAGTTCTTTGTAAATTCTGGATATCAGCCTTTGTCAGATGGGTAGACTGCAAAAATTTTTTCCCATTCTGTTGGATGCTGATTCACTCTAGTGACTGTTTCTTTTGCTGTGCAGAAGCTGTGGAGTTTAATTAGGTCCCATTTGTCTATTTTGGCTTTTGTTGCCAATGCTTTTAGTGTTTTGGTCATGAAGTCCTTGCCTACACCTATGTCCTGAATGGTTTTGCCTAGATTTTCTTCTAGGGTTTTTATAGTGTTAGGTCTTATGTTTAAGTCTTTAATCCATCTGGAGTTAATTTTAGTGTAAGGTGTCAGGAAGGAATCCAGTTTCTGCTTTCTGCACATGGCTAGCCAGTTTTCCCAACACCATTTATTAAACAGGGAATCCTTTCCCCATTGCTTGTCTTTGTCAGGTTTGTCAAAGATTGGACAGTTGTAGATATGTTGTGTTGCCTCCGAGGCCTCCGTTCTGTTCCATTGGTCTATATCTCTGTTTTGGTACCAGTACCATGCTGTTTTGATTACTGTGGCCTTGTAGTACAGTTTGAAGTCTGGTAGTGTGATGCCTCCTGCTTTGTTCTTTTTGCTTAGAATTGACTTGGCTATGTGGGCTCTCTTCTGGTTCCATATGAAGTTTAAGGTGTTTTTTTCCACTTCTGTGAAGAAGGTCATTGGTAGCTTGATGGGGATAGCGTTGAATCTGTAAATTACTTTGGGCAGTATGGCCATTTTCACGATATTGATTCTTCCTGACCATGAACATGAAATGTTTCTCCATCTGTTTGTGTCCTCTCTTATTTAATTGAGCAGTGGCTTGTAGTTCTCCTTGAAGAGGTCCTTTACATTCCTTGTTCATTGTATTCCTAGATATTTTATTCTCTCTGTAGCAATTGTGAATGGCAGTTTGTTCTTGATTTGACTCTCTTTAAGTCTGTTATTGGTGTATAGGAATGCTTGTGATTTTTGCACGTTGGAAAATCAGTAGTCTTTAGAAAAACTGTGGGTTCAGAGGTCAAGGGAGGAATGAAGAAAGTATAAAAAATTTCACAAAGTATTTAGGAACTCTGGCTACAACAGGCCTTGATCAAAAAGGAAAAACCCCTTTGCTTCCTCATTTTTTCTGCATTGCATAGAGTCTCCATGGACTAGTAAGTAATAACAACAGTAAGAATGATAGCAGCTAACATTTATTAAGCGCTTTTACCTATATTCTCACATTTAATGTAGGGAGAGAGACCAAAGGCTTTGCACTCAGCTACTAATTAAACAATCATGTAAATTCACTCTCTACTCCAACTGGGAGGCAAATGAGTGTGATGATTATCTCGGAATCTGAGCAGACTCATGGTGATAAGATTCAGGGGCTGAGAGATTTTTAGTTTACCTGGAAGCTAACAATAAACAACAACTCAAAGCTTTTTATGTATGAACTCATTAAATCCTTACATCTACCCTGCTGAGCAGGCATGATCATCCCAGTTTACTTATGAGAAACCAGAAGTTCAAAGAGGTTAAAGTGACTTGACAAGGCTATAAAACTCCTAAGAGTCTACCTACCCGCTGAGTGCATACTCTTTATTATCCCAATATATGGACTAGGAAATGAAACTGATGGCTCTGAATGGACATGTGCTGGGCCTCCAGTGTTTGGCCACGCACACACATCTATGGTAAGGTATCTCAACATCAGTATCACTGAAGCCTGGCTCTTTTGATGAGTAGAGGCAGTCCTTGAAAGACCACTTATTTTTTTCTACTTTCTTACTCTTATTCCAGTTTCATGTTCCTTTTATGTACATTTTAAAAACTGGGGAAAACTGGAAATATATAAGTACGTCCTCAAACTAGGTACCTGCTAGTCTCCCACCCGTGCGCCCTCTGAAACTTGATATTGGGCTGGGCGTAGTGGCTCACATCTGTAATCCCAGCCCTTTGAGAGGCCAAGGTGGAAGGGTCATCTGAGGCCAGGAGTTCTAGACCAGCCTGGGCAACATAGTGAGACCTCTTCTCTGTGAAAAATAAAAAAATTAGCTGGGCATGGTGGTACACATGTCCTGTAGTCCCAGCTGCTTGGGAGGCTGAGACAAGAGGATGGCTTGAACTCAGAAGGTCATGGTTATAGTGAGCCTTGATCATGCCACTGCACTTCAGCCTGGGCAACAGAGCAAGACCCTGTCTCAAAAGTACAAATAAAAAATTAAAAAAGTAAAACATGATGCTTAGGTGATACTTTGAAAGTGGCACCCATAGCCAGCTTTTGTAAGTAATTTAGCTCCTCATTGTTTTTGATGGAGGTAAGATGGGATTAAAATGATAAAGTTCTGTTTGAGAATTTTGACTTTGCCTGAAAGTGGTCAGCAGATCATGGCATGCTGTCCAGTCTTCCTACCAGCACTTTACAAATTATGTATCTTAAGTGTCAGACTTTCTGATTTCTCTGAAATTTTCTGGGCTTTACTGGGAACCCTGCTTTCTAGAAATCCAGATGTAATTGTTCTGTACTTTGAGAAGGTCCTGCTGCAGGCTTTAATAATGGATAAATTCATGGAAAGACTTAAGGAGATGATGCATGCTACATTAGGTGCCTAAATAAGGAAAGAGAAATGTTAAGAGTAGCATTCAAGGTCCCTTTTTCAGTTTTGTTGCTGCTGCTTAGTTCTGCTCTAAGGTTAGGTCCACACTACCCTGATAGTCCTGTTCCTAAGAGAAAAAACAACTTCAGCTTTCTGGAGGGGAGAACTGCTCAACTTCTACCATATTTTTCTTTCACAAAAATACAAATATGGCTGAACCGTTGCCTAACCTACTAGACAAAGGCACCTTCCCGTAGCATTGGACTTGGTAGCTCGAGGCTGCTTTCAAGATTGTAAAGCAGAAAATAAAAATAAAAACAAAAACAGAAAAAGAAAAATAAACAAGAATGTAAGGCATTGTTAACCTCTGGATCTTTACCATTGCATGGCCATGCACATCAACACAATGGTAATATTCGACCATAATTATTGCATATGCAGCACATGGCAGACGTGTGCTAAAACACATACTGTGCCTACACTTTGGACATCAAATGGCACCTTTAAATCACAGCCACTGTGGTTGATCCCTCAAGGTCAGTACCACTCCCATAGTAATAATAATGAAAACTCTCCCTGCTGAGCTGCTAGTATGTCCCAGGTCCTGTGCCAGGGCCTTCACTCCATTATCTTACTTAACCCCCACAGGGATCCTAAGATACGGGTTATAGCACCATAAACTCTTTCACAGAAAGAGTCTGAAGTTCAGAGGCCCAGTAACCTGTCTAAGAGAATAAAGGTCACTGAG